GATGGCGTCATTCCCCTTTGTGCCTGCGTCAGCGTTGTGGTTGTCTGCCAGAAGCTGTCATACATTGACTGTTGATCAGTCTGAAGCCACATTTTTACCATCACTGTTTAAGATCTTGGTCTTGGTGCTTTTTAACTCTAGATTTGAACCGGATGAAGGATTTTAGTCATCGGACGTCTGGATCTTAAGTTATCAGAGAAACAAGCTGAGCTAACGTTAGCAGCAGCTCAGCTCGCAGGAGAGGAGGGAACAACTCCCCCTCTCACCCCCTAGTGGCAGGAATTACATACTGTACCTTTAAGAAAGAGACCAAATTCTTGTTTTGATATACCCGGAGAGACAAGCAGGAACAGTTTCAATGCACAAATGAGCATGTGAGTGTTGTTTTAAGACAAACTTGAGATAACAGAATGAATAAACTGAGTGGCAAGTGAAATATCACTTTAAGACATGAATGCTCTGATTAACTCTCTGCATAACCTGTGCTGCCTTTCCATCTCAGGCCTGACAACACGCATCCCTGCTCTATTTCATTATTGATAGACCATATTGACCTGTTTTCCCTCACTGATGAGAATGATTTGCCTTCCTGTTTGTTCTCGCTGAGCTGTGAGAAGAATCCAGATCCAGATGCAGACCCATTAAAACCAGTCGACAGCGCTCCTGTTCGATCCTGTTCATCGTGTCAGAGGAGACGCCTTCTGTTGATGAAGGATACAGCTGAATGTGGCTGTAAGTGCTGCATTTAAGCGAGTATTTTAGGTTCAGTGTGTAACGTTGAGGAGGACCTCTTACAGGGGTGGATCTAAAGGGCTCCAGTTTGGTGCTAAATGCTAATAAGGTACAATTTAGACGGAGTAGTATGTCTGAGTTCAATGAAAAAAAGACATGTATTTAGAAAAATGTGTGCAGATTTGGAAATAAAACAATTTATTTTAATAATTTATTCATTATTATTCTATATTCTGCTTAACTAATAATGTTTTTGAGTTACATATCTTCATTTTGGGGCTTTTCCACGTAAATATTCATTATTAAATCAGCATATTTATCTGCCACCCCATAAAAATAAATCATAGGTGTGTTTTCATTAGTGTGTAATCACCTGAAAATAATAATTTGTAACCTTAGAAGGAGTTTTTATCTACAGAGGGAGTCTTCTGTGGAGGCATCCATGTTTCTACCATAGAACGGACAAACCAAACACTGGCTGTAGTTCGCGCCTTTTGTGTTATTTTGTACGCTTCACTGCCACTAAATCCTACATGCTGGTCCTTTAACTACTTTATATTCAGTGTAGTATAGTGCAGCAGATACCAACCTAGGTTCCCCTCCAAAAGATAAATCTGAGGGTTGTGAGGTGATTAATGGGAGAGAAAAATAAAATAAAAAACATTGTTTTGCAACACTAATTTGAGTAAAGAAAAATAGCTCAAAGTTGAAGCTACTTAAAGGAGCAGTGTGTAGGATTGAGTGGCATCTAGTGGTGAAGTTGCAGATCGCAACTAACTGAGTACCTCTCACCTTCCAAGCATGCAGGAGAATCTACGGTGGCTGTGTTTGGTTTGTCCGTTCTGGCCTAATGAAAACGTATAAATATTACATTCCATTTCTGCCGATAGATCCTCCTCAACGTTACACACTGGACCTTTAAGTTCTGATAATAACAATGTACTTTAACTTTTTAAATCAGGCGCCCCCTTTTAATGGAGAATTGGTTATTTTATTTGTGTCTGAACACTTCTTCCACCACTGTATCATTTCTCTGAATATAAATAATTGCTTAATAAATGATGATGAAATCTCTGGATGTGTTGAAAACGCAGTAATTATCCATGTAACATTTCTAAATACACACTGGAGGTTTATTTGCAGAACTCGTGCATCCATAGGGACATATTTGTTTTTGAAATATTTTATCATATTATTATAAGAAACTTATGTTAAATTATTTATTATTCATTATTTTTAGGCCTAAAGCTTAATGTTAGAGATTAAAAACCAAATTAAATTTTCTAAAATGTAGCTTTAAGATACACAAAATAATTCAATATCACTACAGAAAGTAACAGGATATTATATGTTTGCATGTATATAATATTATATATAATATATTGTTTTATCTTTTTATTTTACCCATGTGCCATTGAGGGTGTGGGGAAGGGAGGAAGGAGGGGGAACTTTAATCTTTGTGGGTTTATTTTGTATATTTGTTTTACCTGAGTTCCATTAGGTATGTCCAGTTTTTAAAACACAAAATAAAATATGTAAATTTTGCTGCAATATATGAAATGCAAACTACCCAAACAGCTTTTGAATGCAGGACTTTTACTCCTAATGGAGTATTTTTACAGCATAGTATTAGCATTTTAACTTTTTCTGTCGCCAACAGAAAAAGGACCATTATAAAAAACAATTTATTGGTCCCTGGTGATCTGGATGCTGCGTCCTCCTGCCCCACGCTGGAAAGCTATATACATAATTAGCTCTGCCTTTTATATAGGACAAGCCCCTGTAAAACCCATTCATCATAGCGCTGTGATATAATGGACCAAATGTTTTAAGATTCCTGCCTTCATGCGCTTGCAGAGTCCATGCTATATCTGTAAGAGGACAGATGGCCATCCCTGTTGGTGCGATTCTCCACAGCTTCTCCGAGCTAATACACCCGGCATATGGACATGCATCACAGGGTGGGGACTGGCATCGGGCCCTCAGGAGAGCACGCTGACAGGATAGGGGATGCGATTTGTGGTGCAGTTTCCAAAACGCTGGTCCCCAGCCTGCCGGATACACTCAAGACCCAAAGCCCTTACCAGGCACATTTCACTTACATAAATGTTCCTGCGTCTCAGGAAAATGAACCTGCAGGTGCTCCATGGCAGGGTGCACCAACGCCAGAGATTAGGTCACGCCTTTCTTGAAGGGGGGGTGGCGGTGATGGTGACAGTCTGCCATGGGCCATTAGGATGAGGGCAGAGGAGCAGTTTATCCTCATTTAGGACAACCTTGGTTGAAAGGTATCAGGATGGTTTCCTTGTGCTCTGTCTCTTTTCCCCTTTCAGAGTGTACTTGAGCTCTCCTTCTGCTCTCCCCTCACTGCCC